GTACAGAGCAGAGACCTATCTCTCAAAAAAAAAAAAAAAGGGGGGGGGCATATTAAGGTATTAAAATGTTTATGGTCCTGGCCTTGTGCTACCGATGTATGCATGTTTGTGAAAGGATGACAGGAAGCTTAACAAAGGGTAAGAGAGATTATGGCTATGTAGTAGGATTCAACGTTTCCAACTTTGCGGCTCTCTCATTCCCCAGTTTTTTACAATGACTATGCACAATTCTGTAACTGGGAAAAAAGAATCATTAGCCGTTAGAGGGAGCCACACTGGCCATGAGAGAGGCCTGGACTCAGCACTCCACAGGGCCTGCTTCAGGAAGCTCTGGCCCTCCCCATTCCTGCAGCTGCCCCTTCCCAGCCAGGCAACCTTCCTGAGAAGTACTGACTTCTTCTGGTTCAAAGCCGAGTTCCCCTGGTTGCCAGGTCTGCTTAGACACCCTTGGGGACTAGAACCTAGTTCATTTATTTGTCCAAGCCTGACTAGGGGCTTAGTGGTCCCACCCCCACAAATAATAAGACAGAAGCCATAGTTCCAAGCTCAAGGAGCTCAGAGTCTGGTCAATAGATGGATTAGGAGACAGTGTGGGTGCAGCATAGCTGAGGTGCATGCACATGTGACAGGAGGGCCTGGCCCAGGCTGCAGGGGGCAGGGGAGCAAGGTGGGGATGTAGGCTGGTTCCTGGTGGCCAAGAGGCAAATTCAGTGGCAGAAAGGCATGAACACGGCCATTCACTACGGCCCTTTACAGTGTGAGGTCAGGTCTTGCTCGCCAAGCTAAAGGGGCTGGATTTTATCTTCAAGGCAGTGGGGAGCCACCGAATGATTTTAAATCGGGTGGAGGCCAGGCATGGTGGCTCCTGCCTATAATCCCAGCACTTTGGGAGGCCAAGGTGTGTGGATCATCGGAGGTCAGGAGTTTGAGACCAGCCCGGGCAACATGGTGAAACTCCATCTCTAATTCACTGAGTATGGTGTTGGGCGCCTGTAACCCCAGCTACTCGAGAGGCTGAGGCAGGAGAAACACTTGAACTGGGAAGGTGGGGGGTGCAGTGAGCTGAGATTCCGACACTGCACTCCAGCCTGGGCGACAGAGCAAAACGCCTTCTCAAAAAAAAAAAAAAAAAAAGGTTGAGTAGAGACCCACTAATGTCACTCTAAGCCTCCAAAAGTCTCTCCACCTGTCTGGGGGTAGAGGGTAGACCTGAGGGGGCAAGATGACAAGTCGAGATGCCAGATAGGAGTGATCTGAAGCAGTGAGACAAGAGTGAATACGGGCTCAGTCCAAGAGGGGGCTTCAAAGGAGAGGGAGAGAATAAAGCAGGTCCAAAGAGCCTTACGATGGACTCAGTAATCAATCAGGTTCCTGGGGAAGAGAGGAGTCCAGGCTGAGTCCTCAGGTGCTGCATAATTGCTGGGCATTGGTCAGGGCAGAGCACAGGTGGAAAATCCACGTTGGCTGGGCATGGGTGGTTGTGGTGATGCTGGCCAACAGTCAGCTGACCATGCTGTCGGTTGAGGTCACAGGAGTGCGTGTGGGACACGGAGAAGAGAGGAGGCAACCCTGGAGGATGCCAGTGTGACTGAGGGAAGGGAGTGGAAAACAGCTGGTGGGGGTGACGTGAAGGACAAGGGAGGGAAAGGAGGCTGTCATTGGTGGTCTCAGCCCAGCAGAGGCCAGGCAGGCTGGGAACTGGTGGGCCACTGGGGCCTCTGCTGGAACCACTGGTGAGGCCTTAAGGGTAGGCCCCCACCCCCAGGGTCTCCAGCACCTGCCTGGCTCCCCACAGATACTCAACAAATGTGACTGAGGAAAGAATCGAAGAGTGGGGGGTAAAGGGGTGCCTATGGCCCCCTCCCTGGGCCTCAAGGAAAGGAGCAGTGCCCTAGGTACCAGAACCCTCCAGCCCTGGAGGGGAAGCATGTGCAGGGCTAAAGGTGGCGGCCAGACCCTCAGGACCAATATCGGGTGCTGTCTGTTGGAGGGTCTGCCTCAGACCCCCTGCTAGGGGAGTTCCCGGGGACATGGAGTCTCCTCTGGCTCAGGGAACACTTAGAGCAGCCTGGAGCATTTGCTGAGAGACAGCGCCACCTAGTGGGCAGGAGGTGCGCAGCAGGCCATTATCTGCAGGCTCTAGGCCTTTGGAATCCATCATGGCAGTCCCTGCACCCTGCTCTGGCCCCTGCATCCTGCCCCAATCCCTGGAGACAACAATCCAGGGCTTCTGCCACCTAAGCAGTGTCTCCGCCTCTGACAGCAGGACCCTGCAGCATCAGCTGAGATTGGCTCTGCGATGGAGAAGGTTGGCAGGTGAGATTTTAACAGAGATTCATTTGGCCACATGGCGCAGGCAGAGATGCAGGGTCCTGCCCTCACATGGTAAGTTCATTATGGGAATGGGTTGACTGCAGTTCTGTTGTTATTGTTGTGTGTGTTTGTGGTGTCCTTAGGCTCGCAAAGAAAATACTATGCTTGTGAAACGCTTCCAGGCATAGCTGACCCCTCCCCTCTCCACTCCCAGTCCACAGAATTCTCAGAGCCTCCTGCAACTCAGGTCTCCTGTGTGGCTCAGGCCCCGGCAGCCAGGTCAGAGGTAGGGGCACCCCAGCAGCAGGGAATGACTCCCACCACCTATTCCCCAACAATTCCCTGGGGTCCTCCCTGGCTCCAGCTTCAGCTCCAGGAGCCCTCTCTCCAGAGAAAGAAGTAGCTGTGGACACCAACCACCCCGAAGGGCCCAGACTCCACAGCCCACACAGTTGGTCACAGCTGCCGGCTTGCTCCGACTGCTCAGCAGTTTCAGGGCAAGGTCAACAGCTAAGTGGGGTCACTGACTTTCCTCAACAATTTGGCAGAGTTCATTTTTATTTTCAACTGTTGGTTCAGGTAGGCAAGATAAAGAGTTCTCCTAAAATATTTTAACTTTCCCTTATGACAAAGAAACAAATGTACAATGTTAAAATATCTGTTTTAGAAAAATGTGTGACTCAGAAAGTTAAAGTTTCTTATATAGTCCTATCCCCCTAACAATTTTTTATTGTTGTTTGAGACAGAGTCTTGCTCTGTCGTCCAGGCTGGAGTGCAGTGGCATGATCTCAGCTCACTGCAAGCTCCGTCTCCTGGGTTCATGGCCATCCTCCTGCCTCAGCCTCCTGAGCAGCTGGGACCACAGGCACCCGCCACGACGCCTGGCTTTTTTTTTTTTTTTTTTTGAGATGGAGTCTTGCTCTGTTGCCCAGGCTGGACATGCAGTAGTGAGATCTCGGCGCACTGCAGCCTCTGCCTCCCAGGTTCAAGTGATTCTCCTGCCTTAGCCTCCCAAGTAGCTGGAATTACAGGTGCATGCTACTATGCCCAGCTAAATTTTGTATTTTTAGTATAGATGGGGTTTCACCATGCTGGCCAGGCTGGTCTCGAACTCCTGACCTCAGATGATCCACCCACCTTGGCCTCCCAAAGTGCTGGGATTACAGGCATGAGTCACGGCACCCGGCCTATTGCTGCTTTTTATACTGACATATGATCCTACATTTTGATGTCTCTTATTTTGATTTTTTCCCAAGAGTATTCAACTGGAGGCTTTCTTACCATCCCAGCTCAAATTCAGGTTAACTCAGTGACCAAGACCAGGTGGGAAGGAAGGTGAGTCCCCAGGGACTCAGAAGCCTGAAGGTTTCAGGTTGACATGAGTCAGAAGCCAGGGTAGAGGGTGCCATGCTAGAAACCCAGATTAGCCCTGGAAGAGAAGAGACCTCACCCAAGAGATCCCAGGATGGGGCGGGAGCCAGCGCCACACAGAACAGGCTGCTGCATGATCCAGGAGGCACACCTGGGCAGACACACCCAGGCAGGCTGTGCGTGGTGAGCTGCTGTCCCAGGGAGCTCCCTGAGCTTCTGCTGAGTTTCTGCTGAGTTGGGTGCACAAGCCAGGTCACACCCAGCATTGGCGCTTGGGAACAGGCCCGTGTGCCAGGGCAGAGCCCTAAGATATCCAGGAGAACAAGGGTTGGCTGGTGATCTAGGTCAGGCCCCGCATGCCAGCTTCATAGCACAGCAAACGCAGCCGTCAGCACTCTGCTTCTGGGCGCCCGCTCGTGTCTGGACATGCCACAGTTTGCAATATTTCATGGCCAGTCATTCCAACAAAGCATAAAGAGAATAAAAGGAAAGGACTCTATGGAGATGCTGGTCAGAATACTGGGCCTCCATGTCATGATAAGCCTTTTAGAGAAGAAGAACCTTGCTAAGCAGCCAAGGGACATGGAGCTGTCCAGTAGCCATGTGGGTCATGGGCAAGATGGCAGACAGCGAAGCGCTCCTCAGGCACAGGTGCACATCCTGGGACTCCCAGTAACCAGCTAGCTGCATGGCCAAGTGACTTACTGCTCCCAAATCCCAGTTTCCTTGCCTGTTAAGTGGAAGCATTAATAATACAAATTGTAGCTACCGACAATAGAATGAAGCGATGGTGCTTGCTACACAACTTCACACCCTGCCTGCTACCATGCTGATTGGTTGAGGTCACCCAAAAAAGACAGAACTCCCTCAGGTGCACAGAGACATCAGGCCTTTGGCGCATTCCTCCTGGCCACAGCCAGGACCACACCACCTACAATGTGCTCAGGACAACAGTGACAGCATTGTCCTAGCACACAAGGGCAGTTTCTCTCTCCTGGACAGGGTGCTGGGTGGGTAGGGGTCAGGCCAAAGGTTAAGGAAATGCAATAAGCAGTCTCTGCAGTTATGAGGGCACCCAGCCATCTCCATTTCCTGCCTCTTCCTGCCATTTGTCTGGTAGAGTCTTTGGCTCCCACCTGAGGAAGGAGATGGGATCAGGTGGGAGGCTCCGGAGGCTCCCTGGCTCAGCTCTGTGGGTGGAGGGAGCTGTAGCCCCTCCTAGGCAGTCCTGGGTCTCATGGATCACCCATCAAAGAGGGCTGGAGCTACACTTTCTAAGGGAAGCCACTGCCCCAGCCCCTCTGCCGCCGACTCACCCTGGTCAATGGAGTGCGGAGGCAGCTGGCTGAGCTGGCTGTTGACCACCCCTGCATAGGTGCGCAGGAACTCCTCCTCGCTGGCTGTCAGCTGCAGGAGAGAGCTGTGGTGAGGGGCAGCATGCACCTGTTCCCTGAAAGGCACCTGCACCCCTAGAGGCACCGCCCAGGTCTGCTTGGTTCCTGGATGGTGCGTCCTCCTTTGCTTCTCGGGCCTCTATTCCTGAGATTTGACCCCTTTGCTTTCAGGGCCAGTACACCCCCCTCCCACCCTGCTTAAACTTGGTCCAGGGGTCCAAAGGCCTTGCCACTCAGACTGAATCTGAGATTAGGGTATGGTCTAGTACAGGTCAGTGGAAGACATAGGTCCTGCCCAGAAGGCTGAGGGGCGATTTCATGTCCCTCCGCTCTTTTTGAGAAATACCCCTGTACCCGCATGCCTGCTGCCGTCTCAGCTCCTGTCCTGCCAAGTTGTCCCTGAGCTGCCCCCTGGGAGAGAAGACTTTTGGGGTTGCGAGGGGGAGAAAAAGAAGGTCAGGGCCTTGAGGCTCTCACCCGTCTGGCCCCAACCCAGCATGGGGGTGGGCAGACTGCCCAGCAGTGCCCCTAGAACTCGAAGCGCTAGGCTCTGTGCCTGGGGGGCCGGAAGCAGCCCTAGAGCCAAGCCATAGGCCCAGCGGCCCCTCCTCAGCCCGTGGCTCCGCAGGAGGCAGCTGCAGTGGCTCCGCCCCCCAACAGCCCAGCAGGGCCCTTCCCTGGGGGCCCACTGCCTGACATCCCGCAGGCACTCACGTTTGATCCCATCTTCCGCAGCATGAGCAGCACTCGGACCTTCTGCTGAATGTACATCTCCTCCGGACTCTTCCCGGGAGCTCCCTCGCGGTTCATCCCCCTGCCCGGCTCTGGGGACTCCTGCAGAGCAAGCAACAGCATCAAAAGGGAAGAGATCAGGATGTGACATACTGGGACACTGACACCTGCTAGTGATCCTCACTCCTCCCAGGAGCCCCTTTCCACCCACAGTCTCCCTTCTGGGAGCGTGGGGCAGGTGGCGAGGTACAGGGTTCCTCCCTCACCCACGCTGATCCCAGCCAGCTGGACTGAGCAGCTCTGTTCTCCAGCACGCGCTGCAGGGGCTGGCCTGCCTGCTTCCTCTGTGCATGGAGCTGCTGGGTCCAGGGAAACTGAGATGACTGAACTGCTGGTTATTTCTGCCTGCCAGTCACCCCAGAGCAAAGCTCCTGCTATAAGCCCTAAGACACGTGGTGCATGAAGCCCCAAATGTTCCAGGTTTTCAGAAGAAGTAACTTCCACAAGAGGCAAAAAAGTGATGGGATCAGAGGCAGCTGGTTAGGGTCTTTGGCTCAAGAAACCGTGCGATCATTGTCCAGCCCCCAAACACTGAGACGGCTCCCTCGGCAAAAGCCCCTGACAAGTTTAAGAGGCCAGGGTTGTGGCTCCTGGGCTGGACTCCAAGAGGTCCCTCGATGGAAAGACAGTGGCCCAGGGCTGTAGGGCTTGCTACCTCAGCCCTCACAAACCCACCCCACCTGTCAGAGGGTAGCTCCTGCAGGCAGCTGGGAAGGCCAGCAGCGTGTCCACATGCAGCAGGGACCTAACCTGTAGAAAGCCCCAGGAGAGATGTCCAGAGCCCCCTCCCTCCAGGAGGAGCTGGAGGAGAGGAAGCTGGGTATGGAGGGGCTTGGGTTACACACTGGTAACTCCTGGATGAGTCAGAAATAACACAGCAGCTGCTGGGGTGGAGCCTCATCAGCCCTGGTGCCAAGGAACTGCGCTCGGGGAACCACGGAACCAAGCTGGAGGGCCAAGAACACTCCTCGCACCATCCGTCCCTCCAGGACCAGCAAGCCCTGGACCAACGGGCTTTCCCAGGCAGGGTGGCTCTCTGTGCAGAGGGCAGCCTCAGCAATGTGCCAGAGCCTGGGCAGCAGCCTCCCTGTAAGTACTTGTCAACTGCTCATTCCCCATAAGCTAATGGGGCCCTCGCCCTAAAAGTGCACACAATAAGCTAATAGCAGCTGCATGCTTGATGTGGCACAGGTCTCTTTCCAGCAACTTCTGCTAAATCCCTATAGCACAGACTCTCTTACTCTGATGTTTGCTCCTCTTCCACCTCCTCCTGGGCTCAGAAAACAGCCTAAGTGATAACTGGGAACTAGGAAAGAGGAATAAACTGCCCCAGGAGTGGTCTCTGATGAGAGGGACCCCCAGCCACTCCCCAGGGCCAGGGTGCACCCCAGCGTGGGGAAGGCCGTAACTTCCTGTGCAGCTGAGCAGGGAAGCTCTGTTCTGGGGCATCACTCCTCACACTGACCCATTCTCACTTCCTTTCACTTCACTAGATGTGGAGCACTGCGGGTCTGGAGCTGGGCTCTACACAGCCTCATGGGGTGAACCTTGTACCCCGAACCTGGGTGTGGATGATGATGTGGTCTCCACCTCTTCCCCAGTGGCCACCTGGATCTGGGTTACTATGTGACCTCCTCATGATCCCCCCACTTCATTTCTTGTCCTTTTCTCTACACAACAGCCAGAATGATCTTATGTTTTTTTTTGTTTGTTTTTTTTTTGACACAGGGTCTCCCTCTGTCGCCCAGACTGGAGTGCAGTGGCGTGATCATAGCTCACTGCAGCATCGACCTGCTGGGCTTTAGCAATCCTCCCAACTCAGCCTCCTGAGTAGCTAGGATCACAGGTGCACATCACCACGCTTGGCTCATTTTTAAAATTTTTTTCTGTAGAAAAAGTCCTGCTATGTTGCCCAGGCTGGTCTCAGACTCCTGGGCTCAAGTGATCCTCCCACCTCACCCTCCCCAAAACAGATGACATCACTCCCTACTTAAACCTACCTTAGAATGCATTTCACAATCCTTGCCAGGACCCTGCGAGGGCTCCGCTGTCAGCCCTGCCTCCCTCCCCAGCCTGCCTCTTCTTCCTCTTCCCCTTGCTCTGCCTTCCTGGCGCTCGGCCATTCTAGAACATGCTGAGAAGCTCCTTCCCTCTGGCAGCCTTTGTACTGGGTGTCCCCTTAGCCAGGAACTGGCTTCTTTCCATCCTGTGTCTTGGTGTAAAGGCACCTTCCTAGGGAAGCTTCCCTGACAGTTGCTCTGGTGCCCAGTAGTACAGTGGTATGATCAGAACTCACTGCAGCCCTGAACTTCTGGGCTCAAGCGATCCTCCTGCCTCAGTCTCCTAAGTAGCTGGGATCACAGGAGCACGCCACAACACCCTGCCACTTTTAAATTTTTTTGTAGAGGTCTTGCTATGTTGCCCAGCCAGGTTGGTCTCAAACTCCCGGCCTCAAGCAATCCTCCTGCCTCGGCCTCTGAAAATATTGGAATTAACAGGCATGAGCCACCATGCCCGCCTGTCCTGATTTTCTGAAAGTGCCCTGTTGGAGAACTTGCTTATTGTCTCTCTCCCCTGCCTACTGCAAGGCCAGGGCCCCCTCTGCTGTGCTCACTCCTGTCTTCTGGGAGCCTAGCACTTGGCAGGCACTTAATAAATACTGTCCGCTTAGCTAAATGGAATATAGTGAGACAGCCTGTGGTGTCTGAGCTTCTCCCACTCTGCAATATCCACACCCATCTAGGCCCAAATGTCATTGTGTTAACAGACCAAAGTACCTAACCCAGTCTCCCATAACCAAATTTAGCTTTTACAAAGGACTCACACTTCCAAAGTAGTGTGCCTTGGGCTATGGTGTTCTCCAAAGAACATCTGAAATGCTCCAGAAAGCCTTTGAGCTGGGAGTTAGGACTTCCAGAAGTAAAACCTTCCAATTCTGTCCTGTGCCTAAGGGCTAGTTTTCATTTGCTCTCTCCTGGTGAGAGACAGGGTGAAATACAAGGAGCTGGCCACTAGGTGTCGCCACACACAAAAGCACCAGCATTGCTTCCTCCCCACTCCCAGCAGGTTCTCCCAGGGCTCCAGACCACGCGGTTTAAGCCCACCAGTCTTTAGCCAATGTGGGAAGCAGATCACTCCTGCTCTGGCTCTCCCTATTCCAATCCTACTATCACAAACCACACTCCAGCCCCGGGTCCCAGAGAGCTATTTGTTCATTCAGAGAGCCAGCCCTGCCCAGGTAAGGATTGGTGTCTGGTTTTTGCTGCCGCATCCACACAGGAGCCAGTGGTCCGGGTACACAGTAGGTGCTTCCCAGAGGAGCGTCAGTTCCGTATCAGACTGCTTCCATCACAGACCACCTCCATGGGGCCAGCTTTACAGAATGTTGCCCTCTCCAACAAGCTATCTATGAACAGCTCGCACTGATAGGTGCCGCCCCGTCTTCCCGGCTGGTGCAGCGCCTCACGCTGGGATTCCTAGGGCTTGGGCTGCCCAGCTATGGGCCTGTGGTGTCACTGGTGCCTGCATTTTGGAGCCAGGTTACTCCTGCTTCAATTCACTTCCCTGGAAGAGACAGTTCTTCTTGCTTCAGAGAAGACCCTTGACTTGTCTTTTCTAAAAAGTGTGGTCATGGAGAATTCTTCCAGCTCTAGTTTGAGCTGATTCCGCCCTGCTGCCTAACAAGAGGGCACACTCAGGGCTGGATCTGAAGCAGAAACGCAGCCAGGAGCACATGTTCCCAACCTTCCCATTCCAACCCAAACAGAAACACCATGACTGGCTTACATAATTCTCTCCTCATCTGCAGAAAGGGTGTCAGTGTGGAGCAAACTCGTAATTGGAGAGAATAAATCATAATCAACCCAAACAATATAGACATTTCAGTCATGGTATGCTATGAGTATATTAAAGTATGTCTCTGTCACCTATACAAGCAAACGTGCTATTAAATTTTTATCACAATTCTGACAAGCATCAGGTTCATTTCACTTGAGAAATCTTATTTTCCCCTGCAGGGATCAAAAACTGGTCTCCATTAGACTATGTTTAAATTACATAAACTAAAACTGCAACTAAATTAGACACACTAATTATTCATCCAGTCCTTGAACGTGAGAACCAAAGTAATGATGGTTCTCAATTATGGTTTCTTGGCTATTCCCATAAACATTCCAGCGTCTAAAATGGGGCAGCTTCCACTCCAAATCCTAAGAAAATTTCTGTTAGCTGCCCAAGTCAGAGGTGAGCCAAAAAAAGGAAAATGAAAAGAAACAGGCCAGGCACAGTGGCTCACGCCTATAATCCTAGCACTTTGGGAGGCCGAGGCGGGCAGATCACCTGAGGTTAAGAGTTTGAGACTAGCCTGGCCAACATGGTGAAATCCAGTCTCTACAAAAAATTAGCTGGGCATGGTGGCAGGCGCCTGTAATCCCAGCTACTCGGAGGCTGAGGCAGGAGAATCGCTTGAACCTGGGAGGCGTAAGTTGCCTGGAGCCAAGATCACGCCATTGCACTCCAGCCTGAGCAACAGAGTGAGACTCCGTCTCAAAAAACAAAAACAAAAGCAATAAAACAGAAAAGAAACAACAGGCAAGTATTAACTATCCAAATTAATGGTGAGGGGACAGGTCTGTGGTTATATTATGTAGTAGACAACCACATATTCTGCAAAAAGTGGGTGCCATCCCAGAAAATGACATCTGATTGGGGCAAACACAATGAACAGACATTAAGGTACATATCTTCAATTTAGATAGAGACACACTCCTGCTACACACACACACACACACACACACACACACGGTTTGGAGCTGCCTCTCTGTTGAAGGAAGCTTGGCTGGTCAGGAAAGGATGGTGAGGAAGTGGCTCCCGACCACTGTGAAAGGTACACACAACAGGAGAACTGGCCTTGGCTTCACAGGCCACACCACATTCTCAGGGAGACACCCAAGGGCATCTGTAAGAGGCACGCTCAGATACCACACTCCTTCCCAGCCTTTGCAGGGACCTAATCTCGACCACCATGTAATCTCCAGCTTTTAAGCAGTTGATCTCACTTTAGAAGAATTAGGACGTAGTACAAGAGGAACCTGGAGAACAAGACTGCTGAAAGTCACATGTGGCAGTTGGAGGCTGGACGGCTGTGGCTCCCTGTATGGGTCTCTGTCTGGGAAATGCAGCTCATTCTAATAAAGAGCTTTGAAACCTGGCCTCACTTTGACAGGCACGAGTGGCCCTGAATACAAACACAGCCACCTGCACTCCTTTTTATTTTTAAACTGGAAGCTAATGCTGTTGAACATCCACATTTATCTATGTTAGAATATCCACTTATACCCAGGGTGGTCTTGCACCTGCTAGGAAGATGTCAAGTCAGCTCAGGCGAGGCCAGGCAGCAAAGCTGCTCCCTCAGACACACGAGCTGCCTCCAGCCCCTGCACTCATCTTTTGTTTTGTCCATTTTAAAACACACTGCGATAGATTCTAATACATTTAAAAACATACAATTTACATTTTCATGATGTTTACATTGCAAAAAACACAACGCCACAGAATTGGTGGTTCCTAGAGCTTATATGAAATATTATCCAGAATCTGCACGTCTTAGCCTAAAAGAAATCAGCAGCACCCTAACATTCTCCAGAAGAACCAACACATCTGGAGAAATGAGCACCATTAGGGCTCATGGTGAAAGGTAACAGATGAGCTAACTTCATGATCAGCCCTGGAGCCTGGCGTCCAAGACGACTCCTCACCCCCCACCCCACACTACCATATGGCCACATTACAGAGTCCTTCCCCTGGGGGCCTTACCTGCTTCTGGAAATTGACTTCAGGCAAACAGGTGCTCAACTGTGAGGGGAGGGCTGTGGCCAGGCAGAAGTAGGAAGGTGCCGCCCTGCGGAAACACAGAACGTGGGTCATGGGAGGAGTCAGGAGGGCCCAGGCAGCTGCCAGGGCTTGGTCTGGAGCACACGCCCCACGCTGAGGATGCACAACTGCTGGCGGGAAGCTCGTGGAGTCGGGCTCTGCCGCAGTCCCGAAATACCTGTGTGTCTGGCAAGCCCAGGAAACCTGTACCCACGCCTCTGGGATAAATAAGGTGCTGACGGCAGCTCGGCTGGCCTGGCATTTCCGGCCGAAGCAGGTCAGTCCGCTCAACACCACACACCCTGCTCCCCTTGGCTTAGTCACCAAGTCTGATTGAGACGCTGTGTTCAGAGACACTGTGGACCAGAATGCATCACTCCAGGACAGCTGATGCCCAAGTCCCGCACCTGCACGAGAGAATGCCCCACCTACCAAATCTAACATGACAAGCAAGGCACAGGTAGCTCAGCACCCCGCAGCCTCTGTGCTCAGTGCATATATATGTGTCTGTGTGCTTGGTGAACACCTACAGTTGTGTACATAAACATCAACTAACACAGACACATGCTAAAAACACATGAAAAGCACAGTTGCAGCTTGTTCGCAGACCTACAGCCTAGCCGCATGTCTACATGCCCCCAGTACACCTCTGGCAGGAATCTGAGAACACTGCCTTCTTTTCTTCTGCCTCCCACACACGAGCTCATCGTTCAGGTCACCTGCACAGGTTAATGGAGCAGGAGCATGGACTGCTGAGGGGGCGGAGACACAGGAGAAGCAGGAGGCTGCGAGGGGCAATGGGAGCCTTACCCACCCGCTCCAGCTGTGCCACCTGCTCTGCTGGGGTGCACGACCCAGTGCCTCGCATCTCCGAGGCACATATCAATCATCCCAATGAATGGTGAGGGCACAGGTCTGTGGTTATATATTAATGTGGTAGACAACCACATGTTCTGTAAAAAATGGGTACTTTTGCCGGGCGTGGTGGCTCACGCCTGTAATCCCAGCACTTTGGGAGGCCGAGACAGGTGGATCACAAGGTCAGGTGTTCGAGACCAGCCTGGCCAACACAGTGAAACCCTGTATCTACTAAAAATACAAAAAATTAGCCGGGTGTGGTGGCGGGCGCCTGTAATCCCAGCTACTCAGGAGGCTGAGGCAGGACAATCGGTTGAACCCGGGAGGCAGAGGTTGCAGTGAGCTGACATCACGCCACTGCACTCCAGCCTGGGCAACAGTGTGAGACTCCATCTCAAAAAAATTAAAAAGTGGGTGCTTTTACACCCACTTTTACTAACCACTCTTCTACAACCACAGGGCTCTCAGCTGTCAGCCTTGTAGTGGGGGAAAGGTTGCCAGAGAACACGTCGAGAAACTGGTTCTGAGAGAGGTGCGGGGCCAATGACAGCTTGGAAACCACTGTCTTCAATGAATGCTGAAAAGAAAGTTGCTCGATGACCTAAGGAAGATGTGGTTTCCATAGAAAGCGGGATTTCAAAAGCCTCCCCTAAAGTCAGACATCGCTGTAAACCTCTGACTCTCTGTTCTCTGTGTCCCTTTAACCAGCAATGGCCCTGGGATAGAAGAGCTGTCACCCACCACTGCCACCCCCTCCACCATCAGACTAACCCTACAGGAACAGGCCATTTATAGCAATTAATTGCTCTTTTAGTCCTCTAGATATCAAAGCACCAAAATATCAAGGAACCCTGGGGAACTTTCCACCCAAGTCCCCACATTCTTTCAAAAAGAGATGAAAAGAGAATCTTCCCCTACTTCTGAAGGGCTTTAATTTCTTCTACTACCACAACAGCCAATTATCACTCCTGTCTACAGGGCTCAGACCCTTCCAAGAAGCAGAGGGGAACGTTGTATTCCTGACTTCAAGGGAAGGGGTCAAAGGACAGGGGCTGTCCAAGGATTCACGGACAGCTGTTCTATTTGTCATTTAATTTTTTATTTTATTTTTTGCTAACCAAACAGCAGCATACTTGCCATTTTTAAATATTTATTTATTTATTTATTTATTTATTTTTTACTTTAAGTTCCAGGATACCTGTGCAGAATGTGCAGGTTTGTTACACAGGTATGTATACATGTGCCATGGCGGTTTGGGTACCTATCAACCTGTCACCTAGGTTTTAAGCTTTGCATGCATAAGGTATTTGTCTCAATGCTCTCCCTCCCCTTGCCCCCAGGCCCCCAACAGGCCCTGGTATGTGCTGTTCCCCTCCCTGTGTCCATTTGTTATTGTTCAACTTCCACTTATGAGTGAGAACATACAATGTTTGGTCTTCTGTTCCTGTGTTAGTTTGCCGAGAATGATGGCTTCCCGCTTCATCCATGTCCCTGGAAAGGACACGATCTCATTCTTTTTTATGGCTGCACAGTATTCCATGGTGTATATGTGCCACACTCTTTGTTTTTTTTGAGACAGAGTCTCGCTCTGTGGCCCAGGCTGGAGTGCAGTGGCCGGATCTCAGCTCACTGCAAGCTCCGCCTCCCGGGTTTACGCCATTCTCCTGCCTCAGCCTCCCGAGTAGCTGGGACTACAGGCGCCCGCCACCTCGCCCGGCTAGTTTTTTGTATTTTTTAGTAGAGACGGGGTTTCACTGTGTTAGCCAGGATGGTCTCGATCTCCTGACCTCATGATCCACCCGTCTTGGCCTCCCAAAGTGCTGGGATTACAGGCTTGAGCCACCGCGCCCGGCCTGTGCCACATTCTTTATCCAGTCTATCACTGATAGGCATTTGGGTTGGTTCCAAGTCTTTGCTATTGTAAATAGTGCTGCAATAAACATAAGTATGCATATGTCTTTATAGCTGAATGATTTATAATCCTTTGGGTGTATACTCAGTAATGGGGCTGCTGGGTCAAGTGGTATTTCTGGTTCTAGATCCTTGAGGAATCGCCACACTGTCCTCCACAATGGTTGAACTAATTCACGCTACTACCAACAGTGTGAAAGCGTTCCTATTTCTCCACAGCCTCGCCAGCATCTACTGTTTCCTGACTTTTTAATAATCACCTATGTTGGTCATTTTTATAGTCAGGTCAATGTTCCCAGTTTACAGAGGAAGAAACTGAGGCTCAAGGCCCCTGGGCCCCAGGGTCCATGTAAGACAGTAAGCACGCTCCAATAACTGGATTCAGTTTTCAGTTCTGCTCTGCCACGGATTGGTTGTGTAAAGCAAGGCCAGTGACTGCTCTTCTGTGCACTTCATTTCATCACCTGTAGAAAGGTGATAGATTGTCACCTCTACCACGTCTTCCCTCAGTGGAGGTGAGACTAGGGCTGGCTTCATGGGCCTGAGGCCTGGACAGTCACACAGGGCCTGTATTCAGGAGGGCCCCATGCTTGGTTTACTGTTCTGCTCTCACTGTGTTGAAATTCTTTTTTTTTTTCTTTTGAGAGAGAGGGGGTCTTGCTCTGTTGCCCCAGCCACAGTACAGCAGCGCAATCATGGCTCACTGCAGCCTTGAGCTCCCTGGCTCAAGCAATCCACCCACCTCAGCCTCCTGCATGGCTGAACCACAGGCATGCACCACCATACCCGGCTAATTTTTACATTTTTTATAGTGACAGGTTCTCATTATGTTGCCTAGGGTGGTCTTGAACTCCTGGGTTCAAGCAATCCTCCCACCTCGGCCTCCCATTACAGGCATGAGCCACCACACCCAGCCTTGAATTTTTTTTTTTTTTCCCCTGAGAACGGAGTTTCACTCTTATTGCCCAGGCTGGAATGCAATAGCACGATCTCAGCTCACTGCAACCTCCGCCTCCCGGGTTCAAGCGATTCTCCTGCCTCAGCCTCCCGAGTAGCTGGGATTACAGGTGCCTGCCACCATGCCTGGCTATTTTTTTAATTTTAAGTAGAGAGAGATTTCACCATGTTGGCCAGGCTAGTCTCAAACTCCTGACCTCAGGTGATCCGCCCACCTCAATCTCCCAAAGTGCTGGGATTACAGGCATGAGCCACCATGCTGGGCCCTGGCCTTGAAATTTTTAATCATTTCTGAACAAGGGGGCTTGCACTGAGCTCTGCAAATGATACAGCTGGTCCAGAATGAGAAAAAGGTCAAGATGCTTCTCAAACTGCCAAGGGTTCCACAACCTTAAGTAGACACTAACTCAAGAAGGATTTACTGAAACTTTTCTAGGTACACACTGCCCTGAACCAGGCTTGGGGAGCACAAAGTACAGAATTGGGGTGGTGACACTGAACCTGCATTCCAGGAGTTGACTGAGTGGCTGAGGAAACCACACAACACAAGGCAAAGAGAAAACCACACAAATAATACATGATAATGAGCCAAAAAGGTATGTTAGGTCAAGACACAAACCCTCCTAGAATGCCAACCACGTATCATGTACTGTGCCAAGCATCTGCCCCTGAGGAAAGAAGACCCAGGGCCTTAAGCCAGCATAGTAAGTGGCAGAGCAAAGGGATCTAGTAAGCTCTGCAAGACGGCAGGGGAGAGGCTAGCTGCTGACGGCTCCGGGGAGAAGTCACTGGAGCTGGGCCTTGAAGGAGGAACAGGAGTTGCTGGTAGAGGAAAGGGGAAGGCACAAGACACAGATGTTCAGCGAACAATTACTGAGCATCTATTCTACGGCAGGCATTGAGAATACACAGGTGAGCAAAACAGCCATGGCTCACATGTGATGAGGGGCTTCCAGTGAGCGGGGAGACAGACACCAATCAAGTCACCTAGATCAATGATCTCAGACACTGAGACAAAGAAAATGAAGGTTAAGTTTGAGTCGCCTTGGGGATGTGTGGCTGGGAGCCCGGAGGAGGAGAAGGAGTTGGTAGGGGTGGCATACGCGTAGGAAGGCCCTGAAGCAGGAAGATATGTGGCTTAGACCAAGTTAGAGCTGGACCATAGGGGCACTCAGGGGGAGGGGAAGAGGTGTTTCAGCAGAAGGAAGTCAAGCTTCAGCTTGAAAAGACCACTGTGGGGCCAGGTGTGGTGGCTCATGCCTGTAATCCCAGCATTTGGGAGGCCGAGGCAGGTGGATCACG